AACGCTTTAGCCACAGTTGCCTCACGTCTTTATGTGTCGGGAAGTATAATAATAATCTTATGGAGGAGGAAATTCATTTACAGAAGAGGAAGTCACTTGCAGAACCAAGACTTTCTGGCACTCAGTTCAGTGTTTTATCTCCAAGATGGCCTCAGCAAGTGGAGAGGGTTCCCCAAAAAGCAGAGCGGGAAAAAGTACTGGAGCACAAAAGAAAGGCCAAGAGATCAACAAGAGTTTAGCAAGCACTCTTCCCCAGATTATGTTTAGGAGGCTTGGGGCACATGTTTTGGCTGGAGAGATTAACACAGATGAACAGCTGTCTGCTCTGAAGGAGCTCCTACGAGATGCTGCTTCACTTGATTCAACGCACAACACCCCAGTCAAACACTGCCCACTGAAAAACAGCAGTGGGAAAACTTGGGACCTGACAACATTAACCAGTTTGGCAAAAGGGGTAACCACTGTCAACTCACAATTATTCATTTGTAGACCAATAGTATTTTATAGTCAGCCACAATTGGATAAAAACACATTAAAGAAACCTTAATTAAGGCTGGTAAATTCATCTTGATACATAATATGTTGTTTAAGACCCACATTTTTAGATTGCTTGGAATATTTAACTTTCTCACTGTGTTCTGTTTTGCCTCAACATGTTATTTGGTTAAGTCGTTTGCCATTTAGACACAGAGCTACTGAATTGCACCGTTTTGCATGAAACACAAAACCGAGTTTGAACATAGTCAGAGGGCCTGCGCAGCATTCTGAACATGGCTAAATTGCTTCAATCCATAGTTCCCCAGCTAAGGCCAAAGACAACCTGTTACAGTTGTTCATCCAAAATAAGTGATTGCAATCCCCAAATACCTGTCATGGGCTCCAACTAGGCTTAACCTGTAATTTGATTTGCCTTTTGCTTCTCCACATCAGTATGTTAACCTAAGCAAGTGCCTCTTCACCACACAAAATTACACTTATTGGTGTTAAAGATCTCTATGCCATGCTGTCTTGCTCGGTGCCCACATACTCTGACTTCAGGTATGATCCTGAGGTTCGAGTATTACTGGGCCTTGACCGAGTTGGTCACAACCTGTAATATGAGCACTGCTCCTAAACCGACTTAGATGCACGCACAAGCTCTAGATCAAATTAACTGGTACTTTTAGGCTCAGGTTACATGGCCTGTCAGAGAGTGGAGGGCTGTGGGCTGAAATCCAAGTTCTGCTGAAGCTTGTGTTAATTTACAGTAACTATAATAGCTGCTAATCCAACCATTTTCCTAACCCAGACACTCTCAGTTGCTTTCTCTGTTCAGTGTTGATTCACAGATCTGCTCTGAAGAGTTCTTCAGACAGAAATCACCTTTAGCACGTGAAAGGTTTGTGCACACCCAGCTGTACTTTTCTACCAGCAGGGATAACTGTGGAATGCATAATTATGGTGAGGTACACCGGCAAAATTGGAAGGCATATCTGAAAGGAGGAAACTAAAGTAAAAAGCAGTACAGGTTTCTTTCTGCCTTTGCACAGAACCTCACAGTGCTTCCTCTCTGCTTCCTCACAGTGGTTAGAACAAGACTTAATTCACTAGTGTTGGTAAACTATCCTGAGACCCAGTGTAACAGAAGTGTGAAGTATTTTCATTATTTGTTTATTAATTTCTCAGTTCGCAGAACCTTTTAAAGTGAAATCTGCATCTTGAGAATAAACTCCTTGGCCACTGAGACTCCTTTAAATAATGCAAGAGACAGGCCTCATGAGAATCAAAATATGGTGATGGGAGGTGCTCTCATTCCCACACAGACAGATCCTGGAGACAGAATGGACCGAATGAATGAACAGCAATGTTGGATGTTTGTCCAATGAAATATAACTATTCCTTTCTTTGCACAGATTTGGCATTTTAAGAATGTACTCATAGCTACAACTTCTCTTTTCAGAAAGTTATAAACGGAAATGGACAATGGGTCCTGTCAGAGGGGTTGCAGAGGAGATGCTCTGAGCCCCATTAAGAAAGAGGAGTTCATGATCTTAAACTCTTGGATGATTTACAGAGGGAATAACATATGCACAGGAAAAAGAGGCTGTCTGCTACCAAAAAACTAATTTCCCTATGGAAAGTTTTACCCCACTTTTGCTGAAGATTAGGGCAAGGAAAGAAAGTGTTCAAAAAAGAAAAGCAGGAGAGAGGTGTTGCACCTTGGTGACACTAGCCTCTGTTCCATGCTTCCAAAACAGAGTGCAGAGTTGCTAGATGACTCTCATTGAACATCAGTGAAGTTCTGCAGCTCGTCACCCACATTGCTTTGGAAAAGGATATGTATACACTAGCATTGTCTAAACATCCCTTTCTGATATACCAAGACACAGAGAAAGAACTCTTCATTCACAGCAGGCCTCTGCTGCAATAAACACAGCATCTTCCCCACTCCTGCTAGCTGCCTGCAGTTCTGCCCAAGGAGCAGGAGAGGAGGCTGGAAAAGGCAGGGAGGGGCTGGCTGGGGCAGTCAGGTGCCTCAAACGCATAAGCAGCAGAGACAGTCAGAGAGCTTGTCCCACAGCCGCCTGGTCTTAAGCCATCTGAGGAAGAGCCATGCTGCTCTGCCATTGCCACTCCCCCAAAGAGCAGAGCCTAGTGCTTCTGAAATACAGTCAGGGAGCTCTGGGTGCTTATTTAGTGACAGATTTATGATGTGTAAACTCTGAGAGCATTTGACCACATTTGAAAGGCAGCTGAGAGACAGACCAGATGGCAAACCTTGGGTATGACTGTCTTGTCCTCCACAGAGCTCATACATATTTTTGTCTGGAATTAGTATATTCTGTATTGTGACTTGTGCAGTAATAGTGCCAGGAAATGAGATTGCTGCCACTTACAGAAAAGTATTCCTTCCAAAGAGTTTCTTAAACTAATTCATAAAACATATCTACTTTCTAGCTACAGACTTGTTAATCCTTCAGACTAAGCAGCAGTGGAGAACACAAAAGCTGGTATTTTTCACACCCTCCATCTTCTTTACCATTTCCCTCTGATTTTCTCTCTTATTATTCCATATTACAAGCTGGGGAAAAAATTATTATCTCTGTTCTTTAAAGAACTAAGACAGAAATGGGAACTGCATCCTCTGGGCACAGAATTTTCCTTTTATTTCATTCCTCTTTCATAGCTGCAAAGATTGAGGTTGTGCCACTCATATAACACCTACACACGGAACACAAATTTTACAAAGGGAGAAAGAGAGCACTCCAAGACATGTACATCCAGCTGTAGTGTCCTCCCAAACAGCATATGGAAAGGAAGGACAGGACATCTACATCCAATCTACC